GATTAAAAATGAAAAATAAAACTAGAGACCAATAGCAAAAGAAACCACAAGAACTCCACAAACACATGGAAGTTGAATAACACTCTCCTGAGCAATCAATGGGTCACAGAGGAAATTAAAGAAGAAATTAGACAGTTTCTACAATTGAATGATAATGTCATTGCAAAATAGAGGAATCCATGGGACACAAAGAAAACAGTTCTACATGGGAAATTCATAGCAGTGAAGGTCCATACTAAGAAAATAAATAAAAAAATCTAGTGCTGAACCTCAAGCTCCTAGAAAAAGAAGAGCAAGACAAACCCAAAGCTCCTACAAGGGAGGAAATTACAAAGATCAGAGCAGAAATCAATGCAATTTAGACTAAGAGAATGATACAAAAAAATCAATGAACTGAAGAGGTGGTTTTTCAAAAGAATAAATAAAATTGATTAACCCTTAGCTAACCTTATCAACAAAAGGAAAAAAAAAAGGTTCAAATCCATGCAATTAGAAACAAAAAAGATGAAGTCACAACAGGTCCATGAGAAATCCAGAGGATCATCAATACCTACTTCAGAATCCTGTGTTCTAATTATCTATATTCTGACATTATAGTTTGCACTCTCTAGATTTTTATATAGATAAGAGTTTGGGGTTTTTATTCAGTTATTACTATTTAGAGAGGTGCATATCCACTGTTGGTTATGCCAATAGTTTATTTTGTACTGTTAAATAATATTCCATTATATGGATATATCACAATGTTTTTAGAAATTCACTTAGTTGTGTACAGTTATGTTGTTTCTAGTTTGTAGTTGCTTTAAATAAAGCAGGTGAAAACATTGTACACATATTATCCTATGAACATATATATTTCCTTTTCTTTTGAGTAAATATTTGAGAGTACATTTGGGTAAAATAATGTATGCAGGTTCAAATTTGTAAGAAGCTTTTTCTGATTATTTGAATTATATGTCCATTAGTGTTGTATGAGTTTTAGGCCTTCCAAATTCTCTTCAACAATTGGGATTGTCAGTATTTTTAATTATAATCATTCTACTGAGTGCACTCATGTAGTTCATTCTTTCTTTTTTACTTAATGATGAATTATGTTCACCATATTTACATGTTCTTATTTGCCCTCTATGCTTTTTGGGCTGATTGTCTCATTATTCATGTTTAGGAGATTTTTTAAAGTATTCTAGAAATAAATACATTCATCAAATATATGCTTTGCAAAACTTTTTCTGAGGGCCAGGGATGTAGCTCAGTGGCACCTTGCCTGCCTGCAAGCACAAGATCCTGAGTTTGAAACCTGGTATCAGAAAAAATAAATTTCCCAATCTCTGATTTATCTCTTCTTTCTGTTAATAGTGTCTTTTATTGAGCAAAACGTTTTTATTTTGATCAAACCATATTTATCAATTTATCATTTTATGGATTATGTTTTTCGTGTCTTAGAAAATTTGAGCATCTTGAAGTTTTAAATAATTTTCCTTCAGAAATTTTATGGTTTCAGTTTTCACATCATGATCCATTTTAATTAATTTTTATAATGATACAAGATTCTTTTCTCATACAGATTTCTAATTGCTCTAACACCATTCATTCCCCTGTTTTGTCTTTCTGCATTCATCAAATATGTTATATATAAGTAGGTTTTCTTCTGAACCCCTATTACATCAACCTATTTATCTGAATTTACATGAATATTCTACTCTTTTGTTGCTGTACCTTTATAATATTAAAATAAAATACTCTTGTCCATGCTATTTTCTTTTTATCTTTAAGGGCTATTTTGACTACTCTAGATTCTTTACATGTCCATCTGAATTTTGCAATTAGTTAATTTAAAAAACATGGATCTGATAAGCCAGACAAACAAGCTTAAAGATTGTATGGCTTCTCTCATATGAGAAAAAATATATATAATTAGGAAGTAGGGATAATTCAAATAATTCTCTAAATTATCAATTCCATTGTTACAAAAATATTTTAAGATATTTACTAATTTGTTACATTTATAATACTTGCTTCTTTCTCTTTTTTTCTCTCATTTAGTTTATTGGTGCTTTTTAGGTATACAGTCACATTCATCATTGGAATCTTGTACCTTCACATGACAGCTCTTGGTTCTCATTTTTTCCTCATACCCGCCCTCCCTTTAAAAATATATATAATTAGGAAGTAGGGATAATTCAAATAATTCTCTAAATTATCAATTCCATTGTTACAAAAATATTTTAAGATATTTACTAATTTGTTACATTTATAATACTTGCTTCTTTCTCTTTTTTTCTCTCATTTAGTTTATTGGTGCTTTTTAGGTATACAGTCACATTCATCATTGGAATCTTGTACCTTCACATGACAGCTCTTGGTTCTCATTTTTTCCCCATACCCCTGCCCTCCCTTCAACCCCTCCTCCCTTCCCTATTTACAAAAACTTTGTTTCCATTTTTTCATTTTCTCATATTTTTTCTTTTCCCTTATTTCCTTCCCCCTATCATTCCCACTTTTCTTTTTGCTGGATGAAAAAAGAAACAACATTTTATCTATTTGTTTCTTCTTTGTAAAAGAGAATCTTTTTTGTGTTATATCAACACTCTGAGTAACACTTTGGACATTCTTTTCCAATTATGACATGGATATGCAGTGTATTTGCTCTCTTTATTTAACTATTTTGTTATGGAATTTTCTTTTATTTTTCATAGAAATCAGAAGAGTACTTTGTTATATTTTCTTTATTAATATCTACCTGTATTACATTAAAAGAAAAAACGGGATCTGAAATTTTTGGTTGGGATTATACTAAGACTATGGAACAATTCAGGTCAGATATATATCGCATACACTGTTAACAAAAGAGGGTAAAGTGTGTATCTTCACCTTTCATGGGTAAGGAAGGAGCCATGAATTAGGGTAAAGGATTCTCCTATTTCCTTCCCCATGACAGTACCTGAGCTATTTCAGAGGTAAAACTGAAAACTCATTTTCATTATTCTGGAATAATTGTTTCTCCTGGAGCATAGGCCAAAACATGAAAATAATTTTAAGATATATATTCGAAGCTGATACCATAAACAGTTTCCCTGATGGTGGCCTGGTCTTTTTGTCTCCCTCTCTACTCTTTCTTCTACCCACCCACCCCCAGTATGCTCTCTCCTGAGTTACTTCCTAAAAACTGATGATACTCCTCTGCTTGGAATCTCTTTGGTCTGCTGTTACATACTACTGCCCAGCCCCTTGGGAATTTGGCTCAGAATTGCATAGCTTCTGTATCTTGCCTGATGCTTCAAGTACGTATTATCTTTCTACCCACCCTGTGCTCACCTAAAACCACTCCTCATGCTTTGGCACATTGTCCCTTGGGCCATAGTATCCACTTTCCTGGAATGTCCTTCTCTTTTACTCCAAATGATTCATGCCACATTCTGCTAAGGCTCTCCTTCAGTGATTATGGTACTTTCTCCAACCAAAATGAGCCCTTAGATTCCCTCACACATTTTCTGTACCTCTCTCATGGTCAGTCTTGTGGCACAGATATTTATTTGATTTCTTCTCTACTACAGCAAATGGAGACAATGATAACACCCAGAACTGGGCCTTCTACCTAGGGAGTGACAGGTGACAGTTGTGGGATAAAAAGAATAATTGATAAAAATACTAATTGTGATGGAGATCACCCAGAGTGAGCTACAAATTCGTAAACTGGCTTTTCATATTAAAAGTTTGAGTCTGCCTACTAGTTTACAGTGGTTTGCCTGAAGAACCAGAAGATGCTGTGTAGGATTGAAAAACTCCCTACCACTGGTTTCAGTGGAGGACTCAATGATCCATAATGCTGTGATGTCTTGGATGGCAAGACAATGATGCAATTAGGGGCAGCAGGACTCAGAGAGAACTCCTATAGAGGCAAAAATTAATCCATGGGAAGAATCCCATTTACCTATGAGCTGTTCTTGCTAGAATGTCTTGGTCCCTTTTTGCTAGGACCCTACTTCCATCAGTACTTACTTTCCACTCCACTGCACCTTACATTGCTCCTTACCCTTCAAGAAGCTGTGTGTTCAATAAATAGTGACAAACTCCAGGAGATAGATAGTGTCTCAGCCTAATAAGTGTTTTGACTGAACTGACAATGTGAAATACGAAGAAAAGGGCTAAAGGTATAGGGGAAGTGGGAAGGGAAGGGGAAAGGAAATAAGAGCCAAGAAAAAATATGAGAAAAGGAAAAAAATGGAAACAAAGTCTTTTTAAATAGAGGAGGGTGGAGGAGACAAGGGAGGGCAGGGATATGGGGGAAAAGTGAGAACCAAGATCTGTCATGTAAAGGTACAAGTTCCCAATGATGAGTGTAACTGTACTGCATACTTAAAAAGTACCAACAAACTCAATGGGAAAAAAAAGAGTTTTGACTGTCCTGGGCCTCCCATTTATATATTAATATCTTGTCTTATCCTTTATTATCCTGCTGCTGTACCCTTGGCCAGGTGATTAGAGCTTAGATCAGCCTCTAATATAATTGCATTAAATAAAATTAACTTTAGCACAGTTGACATGTGTGTTAACATATCTGTAAATAGAGAGCTCAATAAGACTGAGGGAAAATTTGATGTTAATTTTATATGAATTCCATAAAAGCATAATTTCTCATCTCCAAATATCTGTTAGAATACATAAGTGGTCTCTTGAGGACTGATGGGCCTTGGAAGTGCCTGATAGTGCTTAACTCAGGAATATTTTTTCAGGTCACCAATTACCACCTTTAGGTAACCCAGCCTTGGGTGGCATTGTCGTGCTACCACAGACAGTACTCAATGCTTTTTGAACAGAATGTGCTTCAGATAATAGTAAATGATACTACAGAAATTTTCTATAGTGTTCATAAATAAGCAGACAAGAAACATTTGGAGATACTTTATTTCTATCATAGGAAAAATCTCACATAAAAATCTTCATCATTTCATGAATTTAAAGTATTCTCATTTGAAATTAAACTGGATTTCCCACCAAAGCGCAGACTCTCTCCTCTTCCCTCTGCAATATAGACAAAAATTTATATTAAGTGCTAATTAAATTAAGAGATACAGAAGAGAACAGGATATATTTATTTTATAGCAGGAAAGTGGAGACAGATGGTGAGGACTTCCGATGGCATTCTGTGAAGACTGAAGTAAGCTAAATAAATTTTGTATTTGATGAGTCACTAACAACATTTTAGGCATAATTTTATTCCAATATGTTTGAATTGAATTTCACTGTATTTTTGAGAAAAATTAAAGTTACTTCTTAGGATCAATCACACATGGAATGACATTTGAAGAAAATTACCATAATATGTAGACTTATGTGAATTTTTTTTTTTTTTTACCTGAAGTAATTTAAACTCTCATAGCAGTACGAGTTTTTGAAATCAGTTTCGGGCCCTAAAAAAATAAGAAATAATAATTAGATAAAGGAATGGATGGTTATGCCAGTCTCTCAGGTAACTCCCACAATCAACAGTAAATTCACAGGTCTGTGGATTAATCAAGTTAAAAATTGAAAAAATAAAGACAAACATCTCTGATTCTCCAAAAAACCAAAAAAAAAAAAAAAAAAAAAAAAAAAAAAAACTGGGAAAGAAAAAGCGAGAAAAGAAAAAAAAAAAAAAAAAGTAGCCAATTACTAACTTATCTCAAACCACTAAGTAATTGCAATAAGATCAACCCTAATTACTACATGGTTGAAATACAAATGTTTGCTCCTAAATGAGTTCAAAAGCACTTTCCATACATATTCTCCCAAAATCCCATTTACATAACTAATTTACCATTAAATTATTTCAATGCTTTTAACTAAACTGATTACTTTTAGGCCAGACTTGTCTAAGTCATAATTGATTGCTTATATATTCATGTAATCGTTTTTCCTACTGAGAAATTACTAGTTTTCTTAATATATTTTAAAATTAGAATTCTTAATTTCTGGCAAGAAAATGAGATTATTTTTTAAATCTCATAAAATACTTCCATCTATTTTTAAATGAAATTTAAATCTTCTAACATCAATTTAAAGTCACAGACTGGGTTATTGTTTTCATTCCTCCCTACAGAGGATTCTGCCAAGCAGTCTGAGAGGGAAGGCCAGCCTCACAGACCTCTTCTGCAAAGCAGGCTTCCTGATCCTGATGGTGGCAGCACTTCTCCAAAAAGCCAGAGAAATCCGGAATAATGGTCTCAAGCTGTCCCTCTGTTATCCCCACTTTCTGCTTCACAAGGTTAACGAGAAGCCTATAATTCAAAACAAAACAACAAACAGGGAAATTTTTTATGTAATAATATTTTTCTGAAGCCTTCCTAGTAGAGAATTTTCAGAGGCCAGAAGCCATAACACCATCAACCCATCACCAGATACAGCATGCACTCCTCATCTAAAGCACTTTCATCAGGAAGAACAGGGATGGGAACAGGGCAAGTACTCTCTGGCCCAGACTTGTGCTCACTCTGGTACAATGCTATTTCACAGTTCTGCCATTCTTTTGTGTAGTGAAACATCTTTCCTGCTTGCCTAGTATGTTCTTTCCTGCTCTCTCTCCTAAAGTGTGTCTCATTCAATCTCAGAGGTTCATATTTCCAGACCCTTCCACCCACCTTGGTCACATCTTTCCCTAGGCACTGATAGCCTTAGTTGCTGGTGACTCATTCCATCATATATTACTGTTGAAACTTTTATTGTCTGAGCAATAGGGAAAGCTTGCTAGAGGAGACAGCATTTTCACTGTTCCTTGAAATACACCTCAGACTGTGATGGAGAAAAAAGGAATGAGCAGTTTCTCAAGGAAGGAAGACCATTTCCAAACCAAGTGAGTATTAAAATGTGTGGATGTTTGGGGAACATAAGTGAACTGATCCGCAAGACCATCACCATTGGAGGATGGCTTATGCCATGAAACAAAATATATATTTCATTTCTTAACATCCACACTATATTACATTGACATTATGCTCTTTAAAGTGCAGTGTAAAGACTTAATTTCATGATTCCTGTGCTTGCAATGAATGTACCAGACTCACTGCAAAACTATATCCTAATACTGCAAGAGAAATTGCTCATTTTCTTTAGCCCCAAAATGCATCATGAGAAGTTACAATTGAGACAGTTTTGCAAGAGAGAACATTGGGACAAAGCTATTTCAAAGAGCATCTTAATCTTTTTAAAGGTAAAACTTTCTAGTGGGCCCACAAATATGAGGGGTACAAAGCAGAAGTCTCTACTGCTCCCTGGCACTGCTGAGCTTCTCTATGGTAGAAAACAACAATTTCTTACTCTTGCTTCATCTCTTGAAGTGCTGCACCCTGAGCTTGACATAGATCTTTATGGAAAATGAATTTGTCAGCAGAAAATGGCGGGGAGATGTATGTGTCATCCACCACCAGGCTGCTGAAGCATGGCCTTCTGTTGGCATATGAAGAATTACAGCAATGGCCCACACTGGGATTCACGGGGTGCGCATCATGTCTGACACACAGCTGTCCAATAATGAGGTCAGCCTGGTTGGGACAATGAGAAAGAAAACAAAGAGATTGACATCTGACACAAGTTGACGTAGATTTCCAGAAAACTCTTGTGATAACTTAATGCCTAGCAAATTATAATTAATATTAGAGGAGGAAAGTTTGCTGTCTGTGTACGATCATTGATGTGTTGCCAGATTATGGATTCCTATGTTTCCACATTTGTTTAGGAAAAATCAAATGTATTTAGTGTTTAGCAACAGCTGTTACAGATGCAATGACAAGGATAGTCCTTCCACCTTTTGCATCAGCTATTTGAAACAGGCTTCCGGTTGCACTGGGGCTTGTTCTCTGTGTATATGAAGTTGAACTTTACTTTTAAAACACAGTGAATCACTATTTGAAGGTAAGACTAGTCCTTTCAGGTTTATCTATCTAGACCTACACACATGCATACAGCTAATAGGAAAGAAACCGGGCCAATGCGTGTCTTTAAGATTTTCCTTGTTCTACCTTCCACACTTAAAGATATTTCATAAATACCTAGCAGTACTTTCAATAAATATTAACATATTCTGTGTACATACTATATATCAGGCCAATATTTCATGAATGATTCAGATTATTAAAAGACCTCATGAGAATGGTACAGTTTTCACTCTTAAATGTCAGATAAAACAGCTCATGCTTGGTGACAGCCAGAGTCTATTGCCTGTGATAAGACTCGTAAGTGGAGAAAGCAAAGCCCTTGGAAACACAGGAAGATGGACTCCAGGGTCTGCAGTCCTGCATCATCATTCTCAAAAGGGAGAAGGCTCAGCCACTGGTTGAGAGGATCCCTAGCCACAGGAAACCCTCATTTTGTGGCTAATGTTTCGTGAAAAGTTCAAGACTTAAAAACTAACTAGAAAATAATTTGCCATTGTCAAAATCAGGATGAGGGAGGAAATAAACAATTTTGTTCATAGTGGTGACTGTAAGGGAAAGAGTAATTTAAAATTGAATCTGCACTCACATGTATGGCATGAATCACAAAGAAGTAAAGATTATTACAATTACTAAGTGGAAAGTCATCTTCCTCTGCAGAACATGGGACTTGCTCTGTTGTGTTCCCTATATTCTGTCAAAGGGAAAAACTGACCCTAATAATAAGATTATACACAAACAGCAAACATCGAAATGACTAATTTTAGTCCATCAAAAGTGAAGCTTTTCCTCTTTTCTAATATTAAAGTAAGCATTTAGTAAAAAACGAAACCATGAAGTTAATAACATAATGGTCATTCCATCTTTGCTGTGCTTAACATTCACACAAACATTGCTAAATAAACTGACTGTATCCCCAGCTGTCCTAGGACAGGGAGCCCAACCACAGCACCATTCAGAGCCAAGTTCTTAGGATGGCTCTAACCACAACTCATGGAACAAGCCTAAAAGGCCATCTCCACGTTAGCACAAAGGAGATGGGACTGAAGAACACAACCACTTACCGCGCCTTCCCCACAGGCCAACTGCTTGTCCCCACTGAGTTGACAACATGTGGCTGCCGTAGTCACCATTTTCCTGGTGAAAGCCATCAGCTCAGATGAGGTCAGCTGAGGGGCTTTCTTCGTGTAAGCAATGAGAAACCTGAAAGAAGCATTTTCCCCACTCCTGTTTATTCCTTCATGAATTTTTAAACTCCTTGCTCCTTCTCACAGACCCTTCTCTGGTATCAGAAGACAGGAGGCATTCAGACCAGGTTTTGAGATGTGCTCTACTCCCACCACCCAGTCTGTCACCCTGGTGGGGCAAACCCTGAGCAGGAGAATGACTTCTATTTTCCATCTCAGTTTAATTGATTCTGTGATTTCTTGGAGTTTTCACTGTGACAAGATATGGCAGAGTAGGTATCTCTACTCCAAAAATCTACAGGGTTTCAGTAACCTGTAGCCAGTTCTGCAGACCAAACTGTGAGGGACATTCCTGCCCCTCCCTAAAGGAAGAAGGGTGAGGCAACCTTCCTTGGGAACAATGAAGTCATCAGATTTTCCTGACTTCCATCCAAAAGGGGATGAAACTAAAGGAACCATTGCATTGTAATTTAGATTATAGTCCCTTTACTTGTTAACAATTTTAAATCATTGAAAACACTGTTTACAAGAACATACGTATTTTGCAGGTAATATTCTCCAAGTTTCTGGAACAGACTACAGCTTCGAGTTGCCATTGTTTGGCTCTCCTGCACATACTTCTGCAGTTCTTGTTCCTGAAAGCACAGAATTATTAAAAACATTTTTCTGTAATTGTGATAACATAAGTTTGAATATAAAATCAACCAATCTTTTATTCTATTATGAAACCATTCTTAGAGGATTTTCAAATATTAAAGATGGTAAAGCATGAATTTTGAAAATTACAACAAATAGAATTTGGGGGACCCTAAATTTAAAACTTTGTGAATCATATAGCTGGATGCCAGTAAACACTCAAAAATCAATAGCCTTCTTGTATACAAATAACAGAATCACTAAGAGAGTAAGTAGGGAAACAATCCCTTTCACAATGCCATCCAAAGAAATGAAATATCCAGCAATCAATCTAATGAAGGAAGCAAAAGACCTCTATATTCAGAACTACAACACTCTGAAAAAAGAGACCAAAGAGAATATAAGAAAATGGAAAGACACCCCTTGTTCCTGGGTAGGAAGAACCAATATAGCAAATATGGCCATACTTCCAAAACTACTATACAGATTCAATGCAATCCAGATTGAAATCCCAAGAGTATATTTCACAGAACATGAGAAAAAAAACAAAGGTTCACTTGGAAACAGAAGAGACCTAAAATAACAAAAGCCACTCTGGACAACAGAGACATGGCAGGGGGTATCACAATCCCCAACTTGAAAGTACACTACAAAGCCTCTGTGATTTAAAAAAAAAAAAAAAAAAAAAAAAAAAACATGGTACTGGCAAAGAAACAGACCCAAGGATCACTGGAATAGTTTCAAAGATGCAGAAACAACTCCAGGTATACTTAGCTACCTTATCTTTGACAAAAGAACCAAGCATCCTCATTGGAGGAAAGATAGCCTCTTCAATAAATGGTGTTGGAAAAACTGGATTTCATCTTGCCAAAGATAAAAATTAGATAACTATTTTTCACCATGTACTAAACTAAAATTCAAGTGGATTAAAACAGAAACACTAAACTTGTTGGAAGATAAGTTAGGCAGAACTCTTAAAGACCTTGGCATAGGAAAAGACTTTATGAACAAATCCTCAGTAGTACAGAAACTAGCACAAAGAACCAATAACTGGGATCTCATCTTTTTAAAAAGTTTCTTCACTGCAAGAGAAATCACCAACAGAGCTAAGAGAAAACCTACACTGTGGGGGAAAAATTTTTACTAGTTGTTCCTCAGACAAAGGTCTACTCTCCAGAATATATAAAGAACTCAAAAAAATCAGAATCCAAAATATAAATGCCCAATTTGGGCTGCTATCAAGAAATCAATCAATAACTAATGTTGGCGGGGTTGTGGGGAGAAAGGAACCCTTCTCCACTCTTGGTGGGAGTGCAGACTGGTGCAACCAGTACGGAAACCAATATGGAGATACCTCAAAGAGCTGGGAATAGAGGTTCCATTGGACCCAGCCATCCCTCTGTTGGGCATCTTTCCAAAAGAATTAAAAGAATCATATCACAGTGATATATGCACACTTATGTTTATAGCAGCACATTTTGTAATAGCTAAAACTTGGAAACAGCTAGACAAAGAAGATGTGATTTTCTATAAAATGGAATTCTACTCAGCCATAAAGAATGAGAAATTAGATTCATTCATAGGAAAATGGATATGTATTGAGGAAATATTCCTAAGTAAAATAAGTCACACTTGTGTAAATACCAAATAGTTTCTCTGGTGTGAAAAACTATAATGGAACATAAAATCCTAATATTGCAATTGACAATGTGAAATAGGAAGAAAGGGGATAAAGGTGTATGGAAAGAGGGAAGGGTAGGGGAAAAGTAATAAGGGAAAAGAAAAAACATGAGAAAATAAAAAAATGGAAATAAAGTGTTTGTAAACGGGGAGGGCAAGAGGGGGTGAAGGGAGGGCAGGGACAAGGGGAAAAAGGAGAACCAAGACCTGTCATGTAAAGATACAAGATCCCAATGATGAATATAATTGTACTTTATACCTAAAATGTACCAATAAGTCAATGAGAGAAAAATACCCAATTCTAAAATGGGCATCTGAAATGAATAGACATTTCTCAGACAAACAAGTCAAAGCAGCAAATAAACATATGAAAAATTTTCAACATCTTTGGTCACTCGAGAGATGCAGATGAAAACAACACTGAGATTCCACCTCACCCCAGAAAGAATGGCTGCTATCAAGAAATCAACCAATAACAAATGTTGGCAGCATTCTGGGGAGAAAACCCTTCTCCATTGTTGGTGGGTGTGAAGACTGGTGCAACCACTGTGGAAATCAATGCAGAGATCTTAAACAACTAGGATTGGAAGTCCTATTTGACCCAGCTATTCCCCTGCTGTGTATCTTCCCAAAAGAATTAAAAGAATCATACCACAGTGATATATGCTCACCCGTGTTTATAGCAACAAAGTTTATAATACCTAAAACTTGGAAACAGCCTATTTGCCCATCAGTTGAAGACTGGATAAAGAAGATGTGCTTTTTCTATAAAATGGAATACTATTCAGCCATAAAGAATGAGAAATTAGAGTCATTCATATGAAAATGGATACATATTGAGGATATACTCGTAAGTGAAATAAATAAGTCACACATGTGTAAATACTGAATAGTTTCTCTGGTGTGATTAAAAATGTAAATAAGAATCAAAATGTATAATTGATATTGTGTAATAGGAAGAAATGTCTAAAGTTGTAGGGGAAGTGGGAGGGGTAGAGGAAAGCTTAGAAGGGAAAAGGAAAAAATGGAGACAGTTTTTGTAAATAAGGAAGGGTGGAAAGGGTGAAGGGAAGACAGGGGAATGGGGAAAAATTAAGAACCAAGATATATCATGTAAAGCTATAAGATCCCAATGATGAATGTACCTGTACTGTATACCTAACATGTACCAATTTTAAAAAAAAACTTTGTGAATCACAGGCTGGGGATTTAGCTCAGTGGTGCCACTGCCTGCCTCACAAGGTCCTGAGTTTGATCTCTGGTACCAAAAAACAACAACAACAACAAAACAAAACATAACAAAAACCTTTGTGAATCACAAAATTATTTGGTGGCAGAACTCAATTTGAGGATAAAATATAACAGTTTTTGCTGTACAAAATTCTTGTTTTTCTGAAGCTATCCAAAAATGAATATTTATTTTGTACATCAAAAACTTTTGGTAAACATTTTTATTTCTTAAGTAAGTCATAGTTTCCAATTACTAGTTAATAACTACATAACATCTAGATTACCAAATCATAGGTAGGTCTAGCTATTTCTTATAATTTGATGCTTTCAAACAGCTTGCTTATTTATTTGTTTGTTTGTTTATTTGTTTATTTTTGGTGGTGTCGCTAGGGATGGAACCCAGGTCCTAAAATATAGGCCAGCACTCTACCACTGAGCCCAAACAGTACTTTTAGTGGATGATGCTCAGTCTCGGATTTCAGATTCTCCCTAAAATTCTAGAACAACTCACCCCTTTATCCTGGCATTCAAGAGGGTTTTCAGATTGGAAACACTTCTCCAATAGCTCCTGGTATCCATTAGCAATTCTTAGTATTATTGAGACAGCAAGTTCAGTATGTCTCCGTGAATATTCATAAATAAAACTGAAATATGTGAATAAAAGAATCATAAGTTATTGGAACTCAGACAAAATGAATATATGTACAGATAGAGAGGGGAAAGGGAGGGGGAGTTCAAAATAAAACAAATACAGTTCAATGTCAAATATAATTTGAATTCTATGACTATCAATACAAACCATAGTTCCTCAAATTGTCCTACAAAATGGTATTTTATTTTCTTTTGGACCACACTTTGGCTTTTCAATTGTGGAATTTATGTTCATTCATTTAACAAATATGTCTTCCAGTGTTTGCTTTATGTTAACATTGCTTTAAAGAACCTATGCTTTATAAGATAAAATGACCATACTCTGAGAGCACATATTAGGAAGACAAAAATGATTAAACGAGTTGTAGTTCACCTTTCTCAGGCTGTGATAAATCAATGGAGAGGAATAAAAAAAGGTGGAAAAGTGCAAACAAGGTGACCCAAAGTGCAGGAGACACTAACTTAACATTGTCACCTGGCCAGTCTGATGCCAGCACCCTGGAAAGATTTCTTTTGCAAAGACTCTTTGCAATGAAGGAATTAGTTATATTAAGTGAATAGCTTTAGATGTGTATAGATGTGTAAACTTAAAGGTAACTCTTGAATTTACTAATTGCATTTCCAAGTTATAGAAATTGGTTGTATTTAGTTCTACCACCAACAAAGTTTCCCTTAAATCTGGTCTTTGTTCTAGTTTCTGTAATTTTATTTAACACTGCAAACAATGTGTGAATTTCTAATTTTAATGCAACAAAAAAGTAATGTCTTCAGAGAATATTAAAAGGAAAATTGGACCATTATTGTGTTAAAATTGGATCATTACTGCGTTAGAGTCAGACTCTTAAATAGAGAAAGACCTTTGGAGATCACTAAGTAGAATGTCCTAAGAACTGCACATATCCCTCCTCTAATAGTGTTCACAGGCACATAATACTAAAGGAAAATGTATTACTTGACTGATTGCTTCCCTTAAAGGCAAATCGAGTAAGACTATAACCTAACAATTATATTACAGCAGAGTACTGGTTGGTTGGTTGGTTTTTGAGATAGTGTCTTGCTATGTAGTTCAGACTAGTCTTGAGGTCACTCACTACACAGACCAAACTTCTGGCCTCAAATTCATGGTGATCTTCCTGCTTCAGCCTCCTGAGTGCTGGGATCACAGGTGTGCACCACCATATCTAGTTTACACTACTGTTCTGCAAATGTCTAAACACGTTTTTGCTGTCTTAAAAAATTGTATTCAATAAATAGCAAATAAATTGTTCCGATAAAAAACCCTTTATCTGTTGAAATATATTTTGGGGAAACCTTTTAAAGCATGGATAGCAAGAGAGCAAATTCTTAATCATGAGCACTTCTGATTGTAAAATGTTTATAATCTATTTGAAAGTGTAATGGTGACTTGCAAAGGAGCAATCAATGCAGAGTGATAATGCTTCTTATTCCAGAGAAATTTATGCAAGTGAAATACATCCTCGTGACTGAGCCGGTAGCAGCAGCAGTGAAAGCCTACTCATCACTGGACCCCTTTCGCTGTCCCCTTGCTGTTTGCTGTCTCCTGTCTCCCTCAGGACATCAGAGCCAGCACTCTCACACAACCGAGCTGGAACCCGCGGCCCGCACTCCCTTTCAACAGCACAGAGACCAGGCCCCCGAGAGCCAGGTTGTGGGTACACGCTGACAGCACACCTTACCTTGCCAAGAATATTGTTTTCTCCTCTGGGGAAAATTGGCTGAAATCTCTGTCTCCTAGGAACCTGCTCAGGTCTGATGAGAGACCTTCAGGTCTGTCGTCGTTTTCTGCATGGATTATGCAGTGGCCGAGTTCAAGGAGGGGCAATTTACAGCATTCTGCTATTTTGCTGGACAGTATGTCTTGCTTAGAACAGATGTACGACATTATTTTCTCCTGTTACAGGAAAACAAAGTATAAATTTAAGGTTTATTCTCTAAGGTAGAACCTCAGAGCCACTCTGAGGAGACAGCACTTTTGGAGACAAAGTGTGTGCCAAAGAGCTCCTTCCTCATTCTGCTTTCCTCCTCATTTCTGACCACCACGTGTTCAACTCCTCCTTCCACAGTTCTCAGCTGAACACCACTAATTTCATAAAAAGTCTTCAGAGCCAGGCGTGGTAGCGCATGTCTGTAATCCCAGCACTTGAGAGGCTGAGGCGAAAGAATGCGCTACTCAAGTCAAGCAGCACTTTCTGCTTGTATTCAAATTTGCCCCTTGGCAGCATCTCGGAAGCTGATGTGGTCGACGGAGAAAATGCTTTCTTCAGAGCGGCCTGCAGTGACGCAGCGAGTCCGCAAGAGGGCGATGTGCAGACGGAACTGGGTGAGGGTCTGTGTTCTCAGGAGGGTCAGTTACAGCCCATTACTCTCCCACAAAACCCAGCCTACACAGCAGACCGAAATGCATCTTTCCACTTTGAAGGAAAGAGTGCTTCTGAGCTCCAAAAATGTAATACTTAACTATTAAAATGAATGAAAATCAGTAAGATTGTCGTTTGAAGATGAGAAAAGTTTTTCTTTTCAAAGAAAAATGAAATCGTTCTCGTTGCTGTTCCTAATAAGGAAGTAAACTCTTCCAGAGCCGCTGGGCAAACTCTCCCAGGTCCTCTTCCACACTTCAGCGCTCCGGGGCTTAATTTCCGACTGCCCTGGCCTCAGCCCAGTGCTGACCCCGGCCTGCCTGGCCAGACATCTGCAGGAGGGGTTAGGGTGAGCACGGCATGTTCATGGTCACCGCGGTCCAGCCTGGCTTTCAAGCCATGGTCACCGCGGTCCAGCCTGGCTTTCAAGCCATGAGGACCTCTGAGAAAGTGGTCCTCGGTCTCCTTGGAGAGGGTGCCTCTCAGGAGACCGTACAGGGCAGGATTGCCCATAGGTTCTCTTTCACAGTAGCCAGGGCACCCAAGATAGACCCCAAGTAGACAGCTCCTTCGGTCTCTCCGGCTATAGCACACTCCAGCAATCCGATGCTGGGATTTTGGGGTTTTGTTATTCATCTCTCTCAAAGTCCTTTATTCACACATCTCTTTCAAGTGTCATTTTTGTTGTACTTGTTTACCCCATGCCTTCCATATGGCAGGTGTCCCAGAGATAACAATAAGCAAAAGAACAACACCAGCAAATCACTGTCTTCTCTCCTATCAAACTGTATTCCCGGGTCGGAATATAGTTTGGCTCAGTGGCTCCGCCGCCTGTCTCGCAAAAGCAAGGGACCGAGTTCAAAATCCGGTACGAAGAAAAAATGTTGTTAACTTATGCCTTCCTCACAAATATCCCTCACCGTGTCTTGTAATAGAAAGTACTCAATATATATTTGTCAAGTGAAGAAATAGATGGATAGGAAAACGATGCCTTAAAGATTAAGAGCTTCCCCCAAGATCTCACATAGCTGCCTCCTGAGGGATCACATCTTTAGAAAAAGTGGATGGGTCCTTGTCTTCCAAAATGGAAGCTTCCCTAAAGTGAAAGCCAGGATCAAAGAGAGTTTAAACTGTATTGTCGAGAAGTCTGACACTCACTTAGTATGCTACTGGCCGTTCCATGATCAACCCGAGCCAGAGAGCCTTGGAGAGGGTGCATCTCTTTTTTAGAGTGAAACAGAAAGAAAGGGGAGAGGAAGCAGATCACTGCTAGGAAGTAAGACTCCTCACCCCGTCATGCAGACATTCCAGCACGTTTCCTCGGCAGCATTCCTCGTGGATGTGGGCCACATCCAGGACCAGTTTCTGAATTTCAGAAAAATTCGCTTTTGGAAACTTCTGGCTCAGTTTAGTAATAGTCCTGGGAGGGGGTAATTTAAAAATTAATATCGGTTACCTATCACAATGCAGCAATATTATTAGAGGATCGTTACAGTTGAAGCTCCAAAGAGACAGAACTAAAACGTGGTGGTGTTTAAAAATAAAAGAAATGGGCCCTAAATCTTGTGAATTTCTGCTTCATTTTTCAAGTCAGTAGTTCTGCAAATTGTAACCAGGGCCCAAAAATGGTTTGAAAGTAATTTATCTTTTCATAACCCTTCCTTGGGAATTGATATGAGTTCCGTCTTTGTGTTGTTCATCCCTGATGCTGAGGATTTGGATCACTGTGATAAGTGAATAAGCATATTAAAAATTAAGAAATAGAAAATTCCATGAGAGTAATTACCATCCTCCACTTCTAGAAATCTAGGGCAGGGTAGGATGTGTAAATCAATGAAATGGAAGAGAAAAGAGGAAAAGACTAAGTATGCCAAGATGTCATCATGCCAAGTCATGCAGAGTGCCAGAAGGGAAGTGAGAATAAAAATTTTGGCTCCTTCTGCTATTTAGTTATATTTTAGGATATGTCTTCATGAAGCTGTTGCTCACTTGAGCAAATCATGATGTTTTTGCTACTGATGAAGATGGATTCTCTTTATAAATTTAGGACATTAAACTTTAATTATTTATGGGTAAATTTTAAAATCACCCTAATCAGATCTTAATGTCTATTTTATTACTAAAATAAACTTAAAGCAGTTCATGAATCAGCCTTTAAATTTCTAGTAGATTTGGAAGGTAGCTAAAGGATAAATGTGGCCTCTTCCGTGGACTGCTTTCCTGTCTTTGGAAGTACCTCTGTGACCCAAAACTCCATCCAGGTGTCCACTGTGCTGTGTTTTAATGCATCATTTCATGAACAAACTCTGAGTGCACATACTCCCTCCTTCCTGGGAGAGCAGGTGGTTTCCTATACTAGAAATATTGCATAATGAAAGAGTAAATAGAACTTTAAACCAGTTATGTACTTTCAAATTTTCTCCAAGCCAGACAGTAAACTCCAGTACTGCAGTCTCAATGGAATATTTTCAACATTTGACATGATGAACCTTACAGCAAGAGAGGAAGCATAATTAACAGAAAGAGTTGCTTGTTGAATCACACATTTTAAATGATTCTCAGCAAAGTTCAGCCTCCTTTGCAGAGGAGCTAGAAAAGCATGGTATAATGAGAAGGTATAGTTTGATTGCCGGAGATAATGAATGAGTTTTCCAAACTGTAGGCAACTACTATACACTTTAAAATTCTCCTCCACATGCTGACTGGATGAGGCTTTAGAGAGCACTGAATAGCAGAATGGCCTGTTAGCTTCTCTCTAGTCTATCAGGATTTCAGAACTCTAATCACAGTAAACTTCATAAAGTCCTCCATCTCCATAGCAGCGACAATGGGAAGAGAAAACCTGAGTGACCAGAGTATTTTACGGACCTCAGCTACCTCTCTAGCTAAAGCTTAAACTTACATGGCTTGGAAGTTCCGGGGCCCAAAATTTCTGATTACTGCACATACATGTTGATTTAACAAGCTGCTTTCACTTAAATCTTTTGTAATTGATGCCACCTAGATGTAGAAGAAATAAAATGTTGAGGAAGCTTTCCTTTTTTTAAACTGTAATAAGGAAGCAAACAAGTGTAAGTAAAATATGAAGCTCCATATAATGTTTGTCGCTAAAAAATTATAAACATATACATTTGCAGAACATTATTTACTTAGTAGTTCTTTTAGTTCAATTTATATGTATCCATGCAAAACAGATTTATTGAAAAATACCTCAAAGCAAAACATTTTGATGTTGATATCATGAATAAACTTTTATAGTTTTAAGATATATCGATGCCTTCAGATTTCTGCTCAGTTACATAAAATAAGATGGTATCACAGCCTGACGTTGAGAAAAGTCACAATTCTTATGAAACTTTTGTCAGGCTTTTGGTGGCAAATAGATAATTGTGGTTATTTTGCTACCTGTCTGAGTCTTCTCTAAAGCTAAGTTTTGTTTGTTAAATGACAGTCATACACCTAAATTTTATTCTAAGGACTAAAGTGATAATGAATATAAAACATTCAGTACAGTTTTCATAAGAACAGTGCACACATTTGCTCTCTGCTTCTCATCCTCATCTTCTCCCACCTTGTCTTTCCCCTTTCTGTTCATTTTCATTCACATGCATCTTTTCCTTTCTCTTTTCTTCTTTAACCCACCAAGCTCACTTCCTGAATAATTATTGCTGGCTGAATGAAAGAATGAATGAAAAACAGCAAGTTCATTTTTTCACACAAAGAATAACAGAACTCTGAAGTTTGCTCTGTTCTATAAATGACATCCTTTGTATAAAGCATATTTTCACTTTTTAACTTTGGTTTTACAGAATCACAGCCACAACTGCACAATGGTTCAGATATTCATACAAATGTAATACCTGTGTTTGGAAACATTCATCTGCATTTTCAGCTTTGCAGCATGATGGAAGTATTTTGTCATAGCGAGCAGCCAAAGAGAGAGCTGTAGGTGCGTACAGGAAAGGATGCCTCCTCGATACCTCATAGATGTACCTGTGAAGAGGACCATGGGGTGTACAAAAGCATAACAACCAGATCACTACTGCTTGGAGCTGGTCTGTGGAATTCAAAGATTCGGGTAACAGCAACAGCAACAAAATTGGTCATCTTCTTTATTCTTTAGGGGAACATGGTCCTATTTTTCCAGATGTTGTCACTAAGGATCATAAGTGGGGCAAAAAAGCTAACACACAATACCAGATTTTATTATGAAAAAATAGGCAGGAATGCTATGATTTGTATTGCACTGATTTTTTTTCCCCACTAAATCTTCTCAAACATGTTGAGGAATCAGCAAAGCCAGGCCTCTGCTAAGCAGAGCAAAATCTTGGACTCTTTTTTTTTTTTTTCCTTTTCAAATGCAGACTGGAATTATCCACCCTGGCCCTGTCCACTGCAGAGATAAGGGGAAGTGCCCTTCCACAGGTTTTGGCAATAACACAGAAGATAGATGCTGTGATAAGTGAGACACAGATTTCAGTAACAGAAAATGTGGGTTCAAATGTACAGGAAGTGTGCTTTCACCCTGTTGTCTTTACCTTTCAGATTTCCATTTTCTCATTAACAAAATTTTTAAAAGGAAGAAGAATGGGAAGGAAGGAGAAGCAATATCAAAAGTTGTTGGTTTGGCGAGGGTTTTAGCTAAGTGGCGGCAAGCACAAAGTCCTGAGTTCAATCCTTGGTACGACAAGGAAAAAAAAAGAAGTGTTGATGATCATTAATGCAATCCCTGGTTCAGTGAACATTTGTTCCTACAACATTCTAGGCACTCAATACACTTTCTCCTTGTTTATCCATCTAAATTATGCCTTTCTCCAATTTTTTTTTATTTCCAATTTGGTAAACACAGTCCATCAATATTTGTCTCTGGATGGAGTAACTTTGTGTAAAATTAATATATTCTTGGGCAAGGTAAAAACTGAGAGATTAAAACTAGCTGTGTCACAGTTGGGACTACATTCAGAGCTGCTGGGTCAGCTGTGAGTCTCAGCTATGGTTAGCACAGGTGCTAAGACCGTGCATGCAAAGTTCACCTGAGTGTCTTACACAGGCCTTCGTAGATACAACCTCAAGTGTTATTCCAACTTCTTCATAGAAATACTACATCCTGCTTTGTACTTCTCCCATTCTAGGAGTTTTCTTACCTGTTTATGAACATCTCCCTGTTTTCTTCATATGCTTTACAACTTGTGACCACATCTGGAACTTGCAAGGCTGGGATGGATGCTGAAGCAGCCTTTTTGCGTGCAAGCAAACACTTGTGCCTTTCCTCTTCACTGCGGGAGCAGCAGTCTGCAAGTCTGTGCTTTTCAGCAATTGCCCTCTCATGGCAGATTTCTTCCAGAAATGTAGATAGCTGTAAGAAAGCTCTTATTTTTAGGTGAAAGACAATCAACTAGATTAAAAATTATTTCAGACACATGAAGAGTTTTCTACTATCCAAAATCAGAAAAAGAAATTTCCTATGTAATAGCAATATATTTATTGTCAATCTGGTAACACAGCTTTCTTGCCTTCTTCTTAGGAAATGGAATTTCAATTTCCAAATTTGAGTAATAAGCATGAGTATTACACAAATTTATTTTGTTTTAAATAGAAAAGGTCATGAATTTTTTTGTGTCTCTCCCTCAATTTTAAATTATCTTTTTCTCCCTTTTATGTTTTCAACAATTTGACCCCATGATATGTAAGTTTTATCTTTTAATATAAACCATGTTTCAGAAATAGATATTTACTCCACATTGCTTTGTAATGACCAGACATTGATCTAAAATTTGACATTATTTTTAGTTAAAAATAAAAACAATTTCAAGATGAGATAAAACAGAAAGACTTCTGATTGGTCACAATCACAGTTTTAAAATGCACATGACTCCTTCTTTGATGCTTTAAGTTTACCAAAATCAGATGAAAATACCACTATTTTAAAGAAAGCCCCTGAGGAATATGTGTGTTTCATTGATCACTGAAACCTAAAATCTTAATTAAGACTTCTGACTCACAGCTCATATAAAAATACTTTAACTTTATAGTAATAAATCACCAATCTGTAGCATTACTTGACCCTCTATTTGGACATAAAACTTCTACTGGGAAAATATTCTGCATAATGTGTATATACACCTTTAAAGAATTATCAGAAAAAGCCATAAACGTAGGTACAATACAGGAATTTTCATTAATTCAGTAATTTTGGAGATCAAAAGCACTTTATATCTTAAAAGGTAACTTTTCTAGAATGTTTCACACACTTCAACCATATGAATTCTATAGCTATGCCATTCCATAGTCAGAAATCTCCAATCAATATAAAGTTCATTTCTATATTGAAATAAAATAAACAACTACTACTATTTATTGAGCTTATACTGGGACAACTTTATGCTAAAAAAAAAAAAAAGTAGTCATTGTTTACCTGAAATTCAGATTTGTTAGGCATGGTAATCCATGCCTTTAATCCAAGCTACCTGGGAGGCTGAGGCAGGAGGTAAATTTGAAGCTCTGCCTCAAAATAAAAATTTCTCAAAGGAGAGGTGGCCTGGGCATATAGCTCAGTGTCAGAGTGCTTGTCTAGCATGTGTGAGGATCTGGATTCAATCCACAGCACTCGTTAAAGAAAAGAAAGTAAAATTTATATGAAGTACTAGCTTTGATGTTACTTTTACTTTGCTAAATCTGGAAAGCCTAATCATGTGCTGTGTGCCTCACATTTACTGTCATATAAAGACATCAGGAGCCAGGCGTGGTGGTGCATGCCTGTAATCCCAGCACTCAGGAGGATTGCTGTGAGTTCAAGACTAGCCTGGGCTACATAGTGAGTTCCAGATCAGTCTCAACTACATAGTGAGACCCTCTCTCAAAAAAACAACAAACAAACAAACAAACAAACAAAAAAGACATCAGCACTGGAGCCAGAGAGGTGGATTTACATCCCAGTTCTGTCATTTTGTGATTTCCTTAAGGAGGGTAACCTTTCTGTCAGCTTCCTCAATTAGAGTATTAGCATCAAACCCTTAGAATAATTATAAAGATTTAATAAGGTAATATCTGTAAATAAGGCTGGATTCTGCCAGTGAGAACTAGCCAGTCTCTCACTGGATATCCATTCTGAATCCTCAGTGCTATCCTCCACACCACAAGATAACTGGATTATCAGTGCATTTGTAGCAGTCCCTAGAAGTATGTCAACCACACTGTGTACTACTACTATTATTATACCAATCTCCATGGCAAGTTCAAAGTGGATTTAATATTAGCCCTGATAGATATGAAAGCTGAAGCTTAAAGAGGTAACATGCCCATAGTCAGTCAAATAATCTTATTCTGGAGCCTACTCTTAGTCATCATGCTACATTGTCTGGTTACAATAGCTACTCACATTTTTTAACTGCATTCTCCAGGACTTCCAAATTATTAAAACTCTCCTTTTGCACAACAGCTTGTTGGCTATTCAAACACATACCTTTCCCATGTCTCGGCTTCCACATGCTAAATTTTGGTCAAGTATCACAGTGTGCTTTACTTTTTACTCACTTACCTGGTTTTCAAAACATTCTGCAGGCTGCTCGCTGCCAGTGGGTTTCTTGACTACAGTCAATACATCAGTCACCATTTTGCTTATTTCCTCATAAGTGGCTTCTTGGACAAATTGGGCAAAGAATATGGTAACTCTGAAATAAAAATACATGAATTCTTAAGGAACAGACTCATATGGGGCTTATTTTTCTGAAGCATAGCTCTGTCTGTTTTGTTTTCTGTTTATATTTTGATTTGTTTAAAATTTAAAAATTAGATTCTAGTCCTCCAAAAAAACTAGTCCTTCTTGGTCATATTCCCCTATAAATATACATATAGCTATTAAAATTAAAAATAGATTTCCCAAGAGAATGGCTCCTCTTTTTCAGCCATTCACTCTTGTAAAAATACCCATAATTATATCCTCTACAGCTTCCTTTTTTAATCTAAGCCAAGTCATAATCATTAAACCTCTGTCTCTGTCCTACTCTGAGCACAGTGAAGTTCTGCTCCAGGACCACGGCATTCATGCACTGATGCAAAGCAGTGTTTGCACAGGTTTCTATGTGAAAGCAGCAGCAGCAACACTTAGTTTTAGGTTCCCTGTTAGAAATTTTAGAAATATGGAATGTAGCAACAGCAATCAGAGCACAATTTGTTCTCCAATAAATAACAAAATAGAATATTTTACTTCCTATAGTTTGCTATTAAGATTCAAATACTATGCGGATTAAGGAGCACAACATTATAATCTTACTGCTATTGATGACAAAAATCCTGAATTCATACATGGTTGTCACTGACCGAAATCTACTCGGCAGTTTATAAAATCTTATTTAGTTTAGTCCATGGAATTCCAAATTATCTAGAGGTTAATATCTAAGGCATTTGACCAAAATTCAATTTCTTCAATATCAGTTTGATATTAAATAACTTTTTTGAAATTGTCCCATTTGCTTTTGCCATCTAAAGACTCACAGAGCTATGCAATTTCATTTCCTTACCTAACTATAATTCTTGTTTTGCACATGTAAAGTGCATTTATTCTGGCAAAACTTACATGTTAACAAAATTCACCTCTGAAGAACACTGGGAGGAATCCAACGTGGAAGCTGGAAACAAAACAAACTTATGAAAGTGCTGTTCCGACTGCAAGCAGGAAAGCAAACATTGCTACTCATAAATGTACTCAAGTTAGCATCATAGACTTCAGAACTGGGAAGACATCAGGGATAACCTGTCCAAACATCTTAATTGTACACTTGAGAAAACTAAATGATAAAATTATCAGAATTACTTACAGTAGACCTAATACTGAAGTCTAGATTTTATGGTTTCCAGTTGTTTCATTTCCCTCTGTACTTTAATGTTCTAATGGACTTGGCAATCAGATGGCTAAAAATATATTTTATGCAATCTTTGAAGTGGAATTATACTATAGTTGGCATTTCCAGATGCCAGTCACAGTACTGCTGTATCAGATAGTCCAATAATGACCCATTGTTCTGAATTAATGAAGATGCATCCAACATGGTGGTTCAACACACGCATTGCCAGTGCTCTGGGAGACTGAGACAGGAGTATGATATGTTAGAGGGCAGCCTAGTCAACTGAGGGAGACACTGCCTCAAATTACAAATGGGCTGGGGAAGTTTCTCAATGTGAAGGCCTTGGGTTCAGTCCCCAGTGCTGCCAAAAAGAAAATAAAGATATCATTTATTGTATGAGTATAAGCAGAATCTATATGTGAAGGAGACTGGACTATGGCCTGTGGTGTGTGTGTGTGTGTGTGTGTGTGTGTGTGTGTGTGTGTGATGTTGGTATACTTACCAGTTAAATACTCTACAAAAAATTAATTAAACATAGAAAATACAAATCATTGATCATATGATCATGTTAAGCACTGCTATAATTTTATAAAACTCTTCCTCTGTGGAACAATAAATGTGATACATAATTCAAATCAAATGATTGATTATAAATTTAAGAATTTAAAGAATTTCCATATAAAGAAAAGGCAAAAAACACAAAGTATCTCACCTATTCCATATGCATTTTTATGCAGTGTTCTGGAGTCAGTGAAATGTAGTAGGAAAATTAAAATAAGTGGCTTCACCCACTTCATGATTGCTGATTATCTCACTGTTGGCAGTGGTGATAGCAGGATAGTTATCATCAGACTGAAATTCTCTTATACCCTTCACAGGCAATGCCTGTTAACTAGTAACCTTTTGTTGGTATATCCATTACTTTATTTCCTTAGTTTCAAAATGGGAAAATTTGCCAATAATTAACAGCACAGTGTTATTTGTATTTTACGTTCAAGGACAGAGACCTCTTCTGAGTGTAAAAAGGGGACAAATCTTGCAGATTCATTTTATCTTACAAATATTCTCTTAAACTGCAAAATATTCAAATAGATGATTTTCCCTTAATTACAGAATAATTAATTCCTTTCAAATTAAAAAGTTAATGTCATTTTTTAAGACTCCAGACTTAGCAGGCAACTAATTAAACAGAGTAATTCTTTTAAAACATCAACTGAATGCCTAGCATATGCCAGACACTAAACACATTGACCGATTTTAACTCCTTACTAAATAATGAATTTTGGTTGTTGGTTTTCTGCTTTGTGTGGCCCCTTGGTGTGTTAACAGGAATAGGCCTTGCTCATGCACTCACCAATCAGAGGTATTACTAGTTTCCTGCTTGATTTCCACAGCAGCGCTCATGTACAGTACTCCTATGCCTGAAGGAGGATTGTACTCAAATACATGAAAACAACAGCTTTAGTTCTTTTGTTTGTTTGGTTGGTTGGTTTTTTGTTTTATTGTTTGTTTGTTTGCTTTTTGAGGCAGAGTCTCACTATGTAGTTGAAACTGACCTGGAACTCACTACGTAGCCCAGGCTGGTCTTGCACTCACAGAGATCCTCCTGCCTCAGCCTCCCAAGTGCTGAGATTACAGGCATGCACCACCATGCCTGGCTCAACAGCTTTAATTTTGAGGAAATGGCTGATGCATCACTAAAATATAGTTCTAGGACACAAACTGTGGACAGCATGGCAAGTACAGGCAAAAATATTCCAAAAGCTTTCATAGAACCTAGTCCAAAGTCAAGAGTCAGTAACATTTTGAATGAATAATGAGTGCATTTATTCAACAACAAGAATTTAAGGTGGAGGAAGTGATTCTAATTGGCCAACCCCAGGTTCTGTAAGTTCTGAGAGTTTTCTCTGTGGGCTGCAGTATTTCCTTTATATCCTTCCTGGGTCCCAGGGATATATGTCCCTCATTCTTTTCCTCCCCAAGTTGTACTATTTCAGTGTCTGGATGCCAAATCTCAGAGAGATTGATTTCTTGCTGTTTGCTGCTCTGCCATCTTCCCAGAAGTCTGCTCTGAGATCTTTGTAACTTTACAAACCACATTTCAGGTTTTATTCTAATATATGTATAATCTGCAAGACTGGATAATTCAATTTCATCACCTTATCAAAAGGTTAGAGGAAGATTTGAGGATGTAGCTTGGTGGTAGAGCATCTGTCTAACAAGCTTAAAGACCCGAGATCAGTCTCTAACACCAGAATAAATAAATAATAAATAAATAAATGCTGTTAGAGAGAACATGTGAAAGTGCCTGGCAGATAGCAGGCCCTTACTAATTTATGATTCTTTCAAGATTATAAATACATATCTAAATAGACACATAACTATAAACAATACACACACATCTGGCTAGAGGTGTGTGATGTCATCTGCCAATTCACTGAGAGGCTAAGGACACTGAGCTCCTGTCAGCCCAGGTCTTATTTGGATCTTTTCTCTGATGCGATGCTGGCTCTGTGTCACCCTGGCTTCCTTTTTTATGTTAGCCAAGCAGACTTCTGTCAATCCAGACCATGATCAGAACAGCAGTTCCACACCATGGCTAAACACATGGGTTAGGGGTTATTGGCTATATGACTTTGAGTAGGTTACTTAATTTGTTTGGGCTTTACTTTCCTCATCTACAGAATGATGATAATAATATCTCTTGAAGAGTAAATGAAGATTAAATATATTAATACGTGTAAATGGATCATAACAGACTCTGGCCCAAAGTACAACTCCAGATGAGGGTTTTATTTATGTATTCAACAAGAATGTTAAGTAACAAACCAGATACTGATCTTTGCTGGAAATAATCAACCACCTGCACTCTTGCTGAGCCTACCTTCTGATATGAGAGGCAAACAACTGCACCAGCAGCCACCACATGAAATGAAGACTGTTGTGATAACTGGAGTGAGTGGAAAACACCACACTGGGTATCTTTGGAGGGCTCAGAAAAGGGGAGACTGGAAAAAAGTTAGAAGTAAAGCAAATCAGGAGAGGACAAGATGTCCCAAGTATGTAGACAGCAATGAAAAGGCCCTTAGTAAGGGAGAGCATGACACATTTAAGGAAGGAGAAGAAATGCAGTTTACATCAAACACAAGGTTTAAGGATGAGGAACCTCACTCTGCAGAGGAAATTTCTGGCAAATTGACAGGGCCCACATCTCAAGGACCTTTAAATCAAGTTCAGGGCTGGGGATTTAGCTCAGTGGTTCTGCCTTCTGACTTGCACGCTCAAGGACCCGAATTTGATCCTGGGTACAAAAAAAAAAAATCAAGTTTACACCTCATACTGAGGCAATCAGGGACCACAAAAGGAAGCTAGTAACAAATGTATTTGTATTTTGAAACTGCCTATATTGTTATAAAAAGGACAAGGCCGTATCCTTGAAAGCATAGGGAAGCTATTACAATAATATGTTTCAGGAAGTGGCCTGGCTCAAAGTAGTGCTAATGGTAGATAAGAGGTGTGGATAAATTAAATAATACAACTGAGATAAAATTAAAAAGACTTAGTAACTGAGTACAGGGGTTAGGAAAGTACATGTTCTGTTGGGGGCATATTAGTTTAAGACAGTGTGATCAGTTTATCCAAACAGTCCTAGTCCTGTGCCTGTTGATTCAGTGTAATTAATAGCCAAGCTCCCCCTCTCAAGAGCATTGTAGGTACACCAACCTGTTTACACATAGAAGCATCTTTAAACTACAAATGCTGAGGTTTGTGGGCATCTCAATAGTACTTCTTCTGAAAAGAACAAGATGGAGGAGCTGGAGATCAGAGATAAGAACTTTCAGAGGGTTGTTGTAACCATGTGAGCAGATGGAGGAGAGATAATAGTAAAAAGAGGGGCTGTGAGAAAGACCAGGTTTACAAGACAAGCAGAGATAAGAGCAGCTTTGAACCAGACGATGTATGCTGACTGCAAACAGTCCTCCGTCTGTGCCATTGCTCAAAGCTGAGTCCCAAGTACAGAGTTCACATCAGACAAGGTGCACTGATCTCCTTCTGATCCTTTTGCTTTGTCACAAATCCTTGAAGCTGCCCAGGGATAGAGCACAACAGCATGGTGAGCTGGACTTTGGAGCCAGATAGATTCTAGTCTTGGCTGTGACAAGAATTAGCCATACAACATCAGACAAATAATTTAACCTGTCTTGTTCTTAATTTTCTCATAAATATAAAAATATTCCCCCTAAGGATTATTTTGATGCATAGATGAAATAATGTACTTTACATGCAGACATTTTAAAAACATATCACTAATTATTATCATTATTAGCATCAGCTTAGTGAAAAATATTAGATATATTATTTGTTAAAGCAGTTGAGCCATACATGAGAGTTGTTAAGAAACCCTTCTTTCCTTCACTCTTTGAGGACACTGTTTCATTTCTTTCTGTGTTGGTATGGATGAGAGTTAGTTTGAAAATGTGTTTTTAACTATCTCTGCTCCTTTCCCTTCAATACTTGGAAAAAACCTTTAGCGTCTACATCAAATATTTCTCCACAAGTATATTTCTGGTCATTCCCCAACTAGAGAAAGCCTTCTACTTTTGGTAACTTAGGATCCTTTTTAGGTTGTTTTCTCATGGAGCACCTTATTTGACTTTGTATCATAGTCATTTGTGAGCTACACAATTCTTCCTAGACAGTTAACTTCTTGGATTCAGGGACACCCCTTTGTGATTTCTATGGTGCTTAGAACAGTGTCTGGCACACAGTACAATCTTTATAGTTAGAAATTAAATGGCATTGAATCAAGACGTGTATTTACACACCATCTTCAGTCATTAACACAAATAAATGTTACAACTCTCATATTTTTCCTGCTATCAAGCTTTACTAGTATGTTTGTATTTGTATTTTCTCTCATATTCTGGCCTAGAGGCCTCAGAAGAGATCTGAGAAGGAAGGAAAGCTTAAAATAAGTCCCACAGAGCAGGTGTGATCCAGAGGTCTGCAGGATGATGTCCCCACAGTCCTTCATCCCAGTGAAGCCCTCCTGTCCCTTAGTGTCCTTAACCCACTTATGAGGAGGAAGGAAAATTACCATCACTACCATTTCCATATGTCTAAGAATGCCAGGCCCCAAAGGACTGTCTGTCCTTGTCCTTGACCTCTTTAGTTCTCACTCTCTGGTGTGTTAGATTCTCTTTTACCCATGCAGAATAATTCTTTAACATATTGTGAGATATTATATAAAACAATAGTATAAATGCACGGAACAGTCAGTGATAGAAAGAAATAATCATCAGACAGAATTGGAAGTCCCCAGAACACCTTGAACACCTACAACTCCAGTGTTTGCCGCTCAGAACTTGCCTAATGCATGTTCCCAGTATCCCTCATGTGGAGATGCTTCATCTCACCCTTCAAGGACCCAATAGAGCTTTCAAATGCTGAGAGAAGCACACCAAAAGAAGAGCCAAATAGGATTCAACACAGAGACACTCAGATTCTTCTTGAATTCAAATGAGTCAAATTTATTTTGGGACCAACACCTGTTCAGAGCAATTAAAGGAAAAAGAGAAACTAAAGCACCTTGGAAGAGACCAAATTAGTGGAAGTGGTGCAAACAGCACAGAGTGGGACACTGGCTATGACAGTGATGAATGGAGAGATGCACCTTCACCTGACAAACTGGTATATGAAAATATAAATGGGCTATCTGGCCCTAGTGACTCAGGGGTAGGGAGAGGTCATCTGACATCCACCAGAACCTCAGATACCCACAAGATCAACAACTCAGCTCAGAGAAGAACTGCATTATTAAAC